TGAGCTCATATGTACTGATCGGTCACCATGGCAACAGAGCAAAGTCCATCCACTGACAATGACCATGTGGAGAAGAAAAGCTAGTGAGTGGACCTTGGGATTGTGCTAAATACATTCAAAAATACATACAAACACCAAATAGGAACACAAATTATACTTAACACCATCTAACACTTGACAGTAAACAATATTATTAGTGCACAATGAGTACATATATAGGTTTGTACAGTGAGATGATTTGGTATATTTGGTCATACTACTATAATTTGGTGAAAGATATTTAATTGAATGTCAGTGGATTTAGCTGAAAGTGTTATAGCATATAAATGCTTCAACAACTATGAGTAAAACTTATTTTTCACTGTTTTTGAAGCACTTTCTTCAACTGCACTTAACGCTAGGCTGTTTTTGTTTTTTATTCGTATCCTTTGAGCTGTGAATACGTGTGCCTCTTGCATTCAGGTCTGCTGCACAATATAGCACATATAGCACATACAGTGTAGTACTAATAAGTGTGAGTATGAGTGTCATCCTCTTACAAAATGTCTACAAAAACTAGACAGCAAGCCTGCTAACCAACATGAAATGTGTTTGCCCAGTCTCAACAACGAATACTACATGTGTACATTCCTCTCTTTTTCACAGTGGGAGAACATTTTGTATTACAGGAGACAAAAAAAACAAAAAACAGTCTGCATGTGTGTGTGTGTTTTTACATGTACGTCTCTGGAGCCATGAGGCGTGACAGCTGAACATATGTTTGTAACCAGAGGAGACACTTGAACATTGTCTGACACTCATGTGTAAAAACCCATAAAACAATACGAGCATTTAGAACCAAATTCAGACCCAAAATAACTGGAGGGCTTCAGTTGAATAACCTGTCCGCCTCCTCCATGCTTCTCCTCACCCTCCACCCCTGCTTCCCTGTTTGCAGCCTCATCCGGGCCGCCTCCCTGTCCAATCCCACTTCCCAGCCCAAAAACAATACAATAACAGGATTAATAACAGCATGTATGCACTCAGACAGCCTGTTGAGTGTTTTAGTATTTACACAGCAGCTCCGGGAGGAAAAGTACAGGGGTCATTAGGCACACATTCTTCTATTTCAAACAGGCAGAGCTGTTAAATCTGTAATGATGTGTAAATGGTCAGACTCGGGGAGTCCTTGTCCTGCCCAGGTAAACATTGTTTCCTTTTTCAGGATGTCAGACACTCGACTGTGTAACACCAGGAGGAGAGAAAAATATCCAGTCATTTCCACTGTGCTCACACAAACAGCTTCTCCTTTGCTATAAACAAACAGTTCTCTAAAAAGGTAAATACAGACCACATATCCAGACAGAGAAACAGAACATTAGTACAGAGTTGGCGTCAAGTTATTTCACTAATGATGCTCCAGACTGTACGCACACGGTAGGGAGGCTTTAAAATCAACACTTCAGTATATCAGCGGTTGTTTATGTGTAGATATATAAAGACACCAGAGTTAATTCAACACATTTATTAGTTTTGAACAGCTGTTACGGAGCTGAATCAGCTCTGTCGATGGAAAAATAACCTTCCAATCTGTTCCTGTCAACTCGAAATACAAATCAGATGTAAACTCAACTGTGGAGAACTGCCTGGTTAGTCACGACTGATGAATGTATTATTATCTGTGCTGTCGTGGAGCTGATGTGTGAGCTCATAATCACCTAAAAGTGTTAACCAAATTATGAAGGATGTTGATTCATATGAAGACTGACATAGTGTTGGTTATTACACTGTCAGAGTTGGATTAATCTCTTGAGTCCCACAGACTCTTCAGCGGGTCTGACACAATGAACTCACACTATGTGAACACGCTCAAACCCACAGGAGTTTATTGTGAGTTATGGTCACGAGGTTTACCAATGTGTGACATACAGACAGTGCAGCTATAAAATAAACCTGATTTGAATGTTTAATTTAAAGCTGCACTATCTGAGATTTTAAGATCCAGCTGTTTTAGCCTCTTTCAGCTCATTGGTTTTGGTTTTCTGTCAAACTCCACCTTGATTAGCATCGTTAATCTTCAATTGATAGCTTCATCTGAGGCCTCAAGTGGCTAAAAAACCCACAGAATTTGATTTGATTTCAGCTCTAATATAAGTGTTCACTTCAGTGAAGTGCAGAATAACTGCTGAACAACAGAATAAAGTTTCATCTATCTCTGAGTCTATCTTTAAAGAAATCAAATCAAATCTAAGGGGAACATCAGAAGCATAAAGGTCAAAGGGGTCATTATTGACAGTTTTTGTCTGTACAAGGTGCAAACTGACTGACATAAAGTGTCACTGCAGTCTCGCCTGTTGGCTCTGACACTTGTTGACTGGGAGTCTCAGACAGTCAGAGCTCTGGGCACAGCCTCACAGACAGTCAGCCCGTGATAAGGATGGTTTCTGTGGTGCTGCTGATGTCAGCGGTTTGCATTTAGGTTTGCCTGGCCGTCTGCGGATCTGTGGAATTTCTCTCCTCCTCGCCATCTCCAGCGGGGGCAGGCAGGGGCGACCGGCACCTCTGTCCATCCTGCACGCCCTGCAGGCTTAGCACGTCGGCCTGCCCTGAGCAAACAACACCTGGAGCGGCGGAGGAGGCTCTGCCGTGACCCTCCGTCACACTCAGATTCACATCAGTGAAACACCTCGAGGGCTCTATGACCAAAGATGGTGTGGGCTCGACAGAGAAGGCCGTGTTTGGATAAGAGGTTGAGTGAAACGGGTTCAAGCCCAGTGCGATGTGGGTATATGTGGTATATTTTGTTTTTAACAGATGTTGTTACTGGTTACTTTTCAGATTCATATTTTTACCCACAAAAAAACGTGATAAAATGCAAAATTTAACCAGTGATTTCCAAGTTTTAGTTAGTAGTTGGGATCCTTGTCATGTTTCAGATGTCTATGAGTTGTTAGCAGCAACGAGGGAACCGAGTGAAAGGAGTCAAATTATCTAATATTTCACAAAACAGTGAAGATTAGAGAAAAGTCAAAATAATTAATACATTTGTTCCCCCAGAGCTTTGCTTTTCTTCTTTCCATTAATCATCTCACAACCACTCTGATTGACCTTGTGACCCTTTGGAGGGGCCCGATCCATAGGTTGGGAACCACTGAACTAACCACAAACTGTATATAAAGTAGATAAAACTAGCTCTACCTCAACAGTAAAATTACACTGTATTAAACATTTTATAATTTTATTATATATATATATAATATATATATTCTGACAATAGATCCTTCTAAATGTTACACACTGGACCTTCAAGTAAAGGATCTGAATACATACTTCACCACTGTATCTGTGTGTTTGAGTAGCAGACTACACTAATGTTGAAGCAGTGTGAACATCCTAACAGTCTGCTGGTTCTCTGGGTGCCTTCATAACTTTCAAAGTGTAGAATAACAGATGGAGGTCTTCATTTGAGAGACACACAGCAACCTTTTGAAAACAGACTCTTACAATTACCATGAAGTCTAGTACAGAAACAGATGCTGTACAGAGAGGAGAAAATATTCCCTGACCTCAGTTTCCACCTGCCTGCATTTTCATCTCATTAACATCCTGAAACTATTTCCTTCTTTTATCAAGACATGAAAGCTGCTAAAATCTTCCACAAATTTACTAAATAATATGAATATTTTGAACTATTGTGAGAATTGTGGTAATGTAACAAATGAGAGTTTGTACAGTCAAAAACCTAAAAACCTTTTACCTTCACGCTCTGTATTTAACATTACAGGACTCTGAAGCAATATATTTGTACTGGACTGCAAAGAGAACTGCTCAAATACAGCTAAATGATCGAATTGTGTGGGTTTTTATAAATAGTTGTGGTGATTATTTATACATCTCCACATATAGCACTAGTCAGACAGTGTCCCTAATAAATCTGTGACAAAGTGTAAATAGAGCGAGACATTCCCAGACACCTCACATGGAGTTATTTCCAGGTGAATAAATGTTTTTCAATCACTCATCTACTGTAACACAACATGACAAACACACAACAGGCTTGTGGCGTTTCCAATCGACATAAACATGCTAAGTGGAATCATTTCAGGTATTTCTCTGAGGTGTGTTATTCCAAAAGCTTTTAAGAAATGTACCACTCCCCATGGCCATGGCCCTCAGCCTGTGTTAACTGCTGTTAACGGTAAATGGGCAGTGGAATGACTTCATGTTGTTAAATATTTGCTCAAATTATCCCATCAGTTGTGATTATTTAGATCTTTTTTTTTTCAAATAAGGCATTCAATGGTATGTTATTTTTTCCAACCAAACTCAAATAAAATTTATTATAAAACATGATAAAAAAAAAAACTTTCAAACAATCAACTCTTTCATTAGATTGTAAAAGAACAGACTATACATTTGTACTCGGGTAATAGACACCAAAATGCACAAAATCATACATGGCATGCTGCTCAAAAGGCAAGCATGAGAGTATTTGTTATATTTTAACAGCACTTATTAATCCTTCACTCCAGTACATATGTGGTCAATATCAGACAGAGGATCTTTTCTCTGAAAATGCTAATACATTTCAACAAAGAGGAACTGTTTTCTTTAAAATGAGCACCAATTTAGTCATACAGTATGAATTAAATCCCATAGCTTCCTTAAGAATGACTTGTTTTCTTTATATTTTTGAATCACGCTCTCCTCTCATTTTCTACACACATTGACAGTCTTGCATCGCTAAAAACAACATAACTTAACATCTAACCAGCCTGACTGTAGCTACAATATATTATAAGACATAAATACAAACAGATTCATTAATATAGTAACAAATATTTAAATGTACATCAGCTGCACATCGGAGTAGCAACTGTACATTAAGAGCAACAAGAGAATACCTGTAGGGAAACTTCAGTCAGGTCAGCTTCTGTGAAACAAAGAACAGACATCAGGGATGAGCTCTTCTTGTTACTTCTAATCTCAGCTGTGAAGAGGGAGAACACCGTAAGACTGACTTACACAGTGATCCTGCAGTTTCTTGCCTGGACGTAGCTTCCTGTGTACCTGATGTCGCAGAGCACCTCATTGTTGGAGAAATCTGACTCCTGAACCAGCTGAGAGGGGTTCACTGTCACCTGAGCAACAGCAGAAACAGCAACGTGAATATATCCAGTTAGATGCTGTGAATTCTGATCAAGTTAATTATTATTCATCAGGTCATATTCATAAAGCAGTTCTACACTCCCACCTTGAGTATGTAGTTTCCAGGCGGTACATCAGTGATGTCGATCCACTGGCAGTCGATGTTGGCGTGATACGTATCGTAGCAACCAGGACTGAGCCCCTGAGAAAAATCCAAACTTATATTACTTCCAAATACACAACATAAAAAATACAGTAATGACTCGTCATCTAATCAAATATCAGAAAATAAAATGACCAAACAAATATAAATAAACCTATAAATTAATAAAATAATGGATGGATCAATGGAAAAAGACCAAGAAGACCAACCTGTGTATGAACTGTGCAGGCGAAGCGTCGTCGTATTCCCGGGTCACAGGACGTGTCCTCCAGACAGAAACTGGCCTTATGTCCCTCTGCAACCTTCTGTCCAGTGGAGACGTCCAGCAAGTCATAGTTACTAAAGGCCTCCATACTGTGGTAATGCCTGGAGACACACAGACAATGTGTTATGGAAATCATCATTTCTAGTGTGTTGGTCAGCTCATGTTAATGGTATAGTGGCCAAAATAGGAAAAGTTATACATTTTGCTTCTCATGCATATCACTTTCCAAGCCTTCATTGTTGCTCATATCTAAAATATTGTTTGATCAACAGCACCAAAAGGAAACAAACTGTAAGTGGCACAAAATAGTGCTCTGAGATGATCTTTGATGGAAGGTTTGGACTCAAGTCACATAACACAAGTTTAATGACCTTAGACTCGACTTTACAAAAATTTGTAAAGAACTCAACTTTCACACCAATGAATTGTGACTTCACTTGGACTTCCCTCAAGCCCAAAGAATAAAAAGTATGTTAAAAGTAGGTATATATAAGAGTGACACGAATCAAATCATTTCCTAAAACAGTAACATTCATCCACTTTGTTTGAACCCATCCCACAATATCCAATCAAACTGCAGGAGAGAACCAAGAAGAATTGAAGGACTCGTGTGTAGGATTTAATGAAGTTCAGATTGCAACTAACTGAACACTGCTGGAATCTGTATTTGACGGAAATGAGAATGAGCTAGGAGAAACTACAGTGGCTGTGAAACTAAAAAAAATATTCACTACTCACAAGGTAACAAAAACACAACAACTCCAATATTCAGCTGTTTAAACACTAATGAAAACATATCTATGAATATTATATTCC